AGAGGAGTAATATTTGTCAACCTTAACTACACTGAAAAATGAAGCATTTTTTTTTTTTTTTTTTTTTAATCCTAGCAGATGAAGGAAAAAATGAAGCATTTTTAAAGAAGGCAAAATTTGCTGGTGTAATAATAGCTCAGAAAAGAAGATTGATAAGTTCATTGTGCCGAAAGTTGTGCTGTATAATTATTTTTTCTTTAAAAAACAAAACAAAAAAACTTTTCTGCTTTGACTATAGAGGGCACTAGATCCAGAAAGCATTACATCACTGAAAGGTTGTTTTTTTTTTTTCTGGTTTCATATTTTTCTCTACTTCTCAAAAACTGGGAAAATTAGATCACCTGAAGTTCATCTAATGCTAATATTTGTTCAGGATATAGAGATTTTTCTTTTTTTTTTGGAGGTGGAGTTTCGCTCTTGTTGCCCAGTCTGGAGTGCAGTGGCACAAGCTCAGCTCACTGCAACCTCCGCCTCCTGGGTTCAAGCAAGTCTCCTGCCTCAGCCTCCTGAGTAGCTGGGATTACAGGCGCCTGCCACCACACCTGGCTAATTTTTTGTATTTTTAGTAGAGGGGGGATTTTATCATTTTGGCCAGGCTGGTCTCGAACTCCCAATGTCAGGCAGTCAGCCTGCCTCTGCTTCCCAAAGTGCTGGGATGACAGGTGTGAGTCACCGTGCCTGTTTTTTTTTTTGTTTGTTTTTGTTTTTGTTTTTGTTTTTTTTAATTTGAGATGGAGTTTCGTTCTTGTCACCCAGGCTAGAGTGCAATGGCACAATCTCAGCACACCGCAACCTCTGCCTCCCGGGTTCAAGCGATTCTCCTGCCTCCCCCTCCTAAGTAGCTGGGATTACAGGCATGCACCACCACGCCTGGCTAATTTTGTAGTTTTGGTAGAAATGGGGTTTCTCCATGTTGGTCTGGCTGGTCTCTCAAGCTCCCAACCTCAGGTGATCCACCTTGTTCTTTGGGATTGTAGAGTTCATAAAGAAACTTATATCATAGTTTGTGCTTGGATAGTATACACGAAAGGTGAAATGGCCAAGGAATGCAGTGTGGTGTGTAGGCAGTTGTTATGGACAAGAATAGAGAATCTGCTATTATAAGATTATTACTTTTCACCTTAGATGGTGCATTTAATTTTCAGAGGGATTTATTTATTTTTATTTATTTATTATTAATTAATTAATTTATTTATTTAAAGACAGGGTTTTGCTGGGCGCGGTGGCTCAAGCCTGTAATCCCAGCACTTTGGGAGGCTGAGGTGGGTGGATCATGAGGTTGGAGATCGAGACCATCCTGGCTAACACAGTGAAACCCCGTCTTTACTAAAAAAAAAAAAAAAATGAGCTGGGCGTGGTGGCACGCACCTGTAGTCCCAGCTGCTCAGGTGGCTGAGGCAGGAGAATCACTTGAACTCAGGAGGTGGAGGTTGCAGTGAGCCGAGATCGAGCCATTGCACTCTAGCCTGGGTGACAAAGTGAAATTCCATCCCCCAAAAAAATAAAAGTGCACATTATTGGCCAGCACTTTGGGAGGCCAAGGTGGGTGGATCACTTGAGGTCAGGAGTTTGAGACCATCCTGGCCAACATGGTGAAACCCTGTTTCTATTAAAAATACAAATAGTAGTGCATGGTGGCGTGCGCCTGTAGTCCCAGCTCCTCAAGAAACTGAGGTAGGAGAATCACTTCAAGCTGGGAGGCAGAAGAGGTTGTTGCAGTGAGCCGAAATTGCACTACTGCACTTTAGCCTGGCAACAGAGCAAGACTCCATCTCAAAAATAATAATAAACAAAATAATGAAAGAAAATAATACTTTTCTTAAAAGCTCATTGTTAATTCCAATTAAAATGTTTTGACACTTCTATCTTTGCATTTTATTTTATGCATTTAAAAACATTATTCTGGCTGGTCATGGTGGCTCACGCCTGTAGTCCTGGGAAGCTGTGGTGAGTGGATCACTTGAGCCCAGGAGTTCAAGAGCACACTGGGCAGTGTGGTGAAACCCTGTTTATATTAAGAAAAAAGCATTTTGACAAGGGTTCCATATGTTTTACTAAATGGCCCAAGGAGTCCATGGCACCAAAGAGTCTAAAGATCCCTGCTCCTAACTTCTTTACTTCTGTTCTAAGGTTAGGATGTAGAATGAAGTTAGCCAGAGCTTGTGAAGCAACACAGCACAGGGTGATGTCACAGTATTTTACAGAATCATGATGTCATTCTTTGGTTATGACTTAGTTTTGTTTACTAATAATCATAAATTCTGACCTCACAAATGAGAGGGAACAAAATGCTTGTGTATGTGCTAAGAGAGAATAAAATAAAATTAAGGCATAATAATTTCTTTTTGTATTCAAGAAGTATATGTTTATGTTTCCAAAGGAGTTCTCTCTTAAGTGCCATAAGTTTAATGGAACATTGGTTGTCTTCGTGTGTTCACGTCTTCAAACATACTTAAAATTGCTTCATATCTTATCTTCAACAGGTCACTGTTAATGTAGGCATTTATTTTGTTCAATTGGAAAAATCCTTAAAGAGGTTGATGAACCTAAAGTTTTAAATACCTGCGCTGGAAATTAGAAATGTACATCCTTTTTTTTTTTTAAATTTTTATTTATTACTTCACTCTATTGTGTTGTATGATGCTGTTGTTGATACTCTTTCACCTAGAAAATTTGATGGAATAGAGGGAAGGATAGTGATTTAACAATTACTGTAGGTTCCAGGAAAATAAAACACTCATTTGAAAATTGTGTATTTCTCATAAAAGAGCTGACGGTTGTCTTAATCGCAGCATAGTCTAAGATTTATATTGTTAGCAATTAAAAAGGCTATTTAGCTGTGCTATGTTTTGAGGTAATAATATTGACTTTGGTACATCTTTAATGCCTGCAGATAATTTCCCCAAAACTTTGCAAATAAACACTTGAGAATGGTATACTCTGGTTTCTCTTCAGATCACATAAATTTTTCTCCTTTTACTAAAGATTTCCATGGAGAGAATGGTGAATAATGTTTTAGTGCCAGACAAAACAGTATTCAATTTAATACTCTTTTGTGATTTGTCTGTTACTGGTGAAGCAAACAAGAAAACAAAACAACTTAGTTCTTTATTGAAGATAATGGGGGAGGTCAAAGGTAGCATCATAATGAAGTTCAGACTCATTCAAGGAATTTTTAAACAGTTACTGTTGTGTATAAGAAGTTATTAGAAGAGATTAGAGATTTAAATATATATTTAAAGTATTGTTTAAAAACTTTTAGAATGAGAATAAAACTGAAATGAAATGTTTTATTATTCAGTTGTCTTTAGTCCTCAAAGTTTTTTTAATGTAAAACTAAGTATAATGTTAATTATTTTTGTGAGTGAATAGTTTAGCTTTTTGCAGAAAAAGGAAAAGCTTTCTTTGTTGTTTACCTTTTCTTAGCGAATTATAATCACTTATTCTCCCTATTAAGCATCTGATACTGGAAGTGAAGTACATTGTAATAGAAGTACCATCTATTATTAATATATTAAAATGCTCGTTTATATTCAAAGTAACGTAAATTATGTAATCTGACAACTCACTTGTTTGTAACTTTAATCCAGCCAGTACATTTATTCAGATTCTGGAACAGGGTAGGTTATATGTTAGTAAATTTAAATGGCCCACTTAGATACTGATTTGTTGAATATATTTTGGGTTGCTGTAGAAAACAGAACATATAGTTATTTATTTCAGAATGTAATCTAGAATTTTTCCAAGCAAAACCTACAATTGATGGACATATCCCCCAACTTTCTTTTCTTCATGAGTTCTCATGTTGTTTTATAAAATGTGAAATGGTCTGTATTTGGAAATTCCCGTCCAACCAAGAAATAAATTAATATGTGAAGGGGATACAGGACTCTCAACTTTGGCAGTAGCCAGCTTTTCAGTCTGTGAGAAGAAGGCAAAAATGAAGCATTTGTTTTTTTTTTTTTTTTTTAATCCTAGCA